ATATACTTCAAAGAGAAAGGAAGCTATTGAAGAAAAACTATTTTGGACATTCGACCTTGCTGTGGCTTTGATCCTGTTTGGATCAATTCCAATATTTTACCAGTTCATCTGCTGGATACAATGATAATTCCATATAAATACTACAACCATTCAAACACTCGTTCTTGAGATAGCGTGCTAATGAGAATCTTGGACAGACGCAGACGGACACATGGACAAGTCGAAAACATACTGCCACCTAGCGGTGGAGGCATAATAATAATCTTCTTTCGGCTGTCCCGTTAGGGGTCGCCACAGTGGATCATTGGTCCGTATATTTGATTTGGCACAGTTTTTCGCCAGATACCCTTCCTGACACAACCCTCCCCAATTTTATCTGGGCTTGGGACCAGCATTGGGAGTGCACTCTCTCGTGCAACCCCAGTGGCTGGGGTTGGTTCCCTGGCCAGGAATCGAAACGGGGACATGGCGGCGAGAGTGCCGAGGCATAACCACTAGTCCTCCAGGGACCCGGTGGAGGCATAATAATAACATTATAATAAAATTTTTTTCCAAATGTTAATGCACAGTACTTTATATTTGATTAACTTAAAAAATAGAAAAAAATTGTGGCAGGTGCAAAAGTTTGGATGCCCTGATTAAGTCAGTACTTAGTAACACCTCCTTTGGCAGATATCACAGCTTGCAGAGGCTTTTTGTAGCCAGCTAGGAATCTTTCATTTCTTGTTTTAGGAATGTTCAACCAATATTTCTTGCAGAACATTTATAGTTCTGAGATATGTTTGGGCCATCTTGCATGCACAACATGTTTAAAATCTACCCATAGATTTTCAGTTGTGTTCAAGTCAGGGGACTGTGAGGGCCGTTCCAAAAGCTTCAGCTTGCATTTCTTGAAGTAGTTCATGGTGGACTTTGAGGACTTTGGATCATTGTCCTGTTGTAGAAGCCATTCTCTTTTCAGCTTAAGTCTCTTGACTGACTGTGTCACATTTGCTTCCAGAATTTGCTGATATTTACTGGAATCCATTCTTCCATCTACCCATGCAATGTTTGCTCTGCCACTGGCTGCCACACAACCCTAAGCATAATAGTTTCACCCCAGGCTTAATAGTTTGCAAGGTTTTCTTTTCATCAAATCGTACTTTTTTCTCCAAACATACCTTTGGTGATTGTGGCCAAAGAGTTAAATTTTTAATTCATCAGTACGCAATACTTTTTTCCAAAATGCCTCAGCTTATCTACATGTTGTCTTGCATACTTCAGACATCGACTTTTGTGATAAGGTCACAGGTAAGGTTTCCTTCTGATGACTCTTCCATGCAGATCATGTTTGTGCAAGTAATGCTACAGAGTAGAATGGTGCACCGCTCATGTGTCAGCTAAACATTCCTGCAGGTCCTTGCTGTCATTTGGGGATTTTGCTTTGCCTTTCTGCCCGTATGCATACAGGCAGTTCTATTTGAGAGTTTTCTTAGCCTTCCACATCTAGCCTTGACTTCCACAGTTCCCCTTAAGTGCCTTCCTCTGCTTTGTAGGCATCGATTAGCTTAATTTTCAGATCCTCAGTCAGCTGCTTAGAGAAGCTCATGGTTGTTGATTTGAGCATAAGGTTCAAAGAGTTTCCTAATGACAATTCTTGACCTGAATAACAAGTCCTAACAAGTAAATCAAGGCCTAACAAGTTAATTTAGTTCTGAGACTTTATTCAAAATGTGAAAACTTTTGCACATGATATAATTATGATTGTATTATTTTCTATTTGTTAGGTTAATTGAATATAAATGAACTACGCATTAACATTTGCATAAATGTTATTTTTTAAACATTTGCTACAGAGATTGTTTTACTTCACTTCAAAAATCAACAAAATGTGTGATTTGCACAAGAGTACCCAAACATTTACAAACAAATGTATACTTCATAATTAGGGCACTAGTTATCCTGCCTAATGTGTTGTGATTAGCACTTGGAGCAGTTTGGCATTACAATGTGTGGATCAGCTCCTCAGGGACACGGTGACGTGTTTTGGGGAATTTTTATCTGGGAAACCGTTCTGTTCCTGCAGGCCATCACCTCCCATTGCCTCTGCATCTGTCACCTTGTTAATCTGTCTTTCTGTTACACACAAACACACAGTGACGGGGGGACATGAGCGGGAACAGGCCGAACTGGATATTTATACAGTATAAAGTAAAAAAAATGCAGATTAAAAAAGTTTAAAGTTACTGGTAAGTATAATGTTTAAATAAATTTATGTTAATTTAAATAAAGATTTTTTCTCATATTTTTAAACTCAGATCATAAATCAGGAGCTCTGTTTCTGATCTTCAATTTTTATCCATAAGAACATTTCCTAAATGTAAATAAATCAAAAGTGGTGTTTTGGAGCTTTTTGTACCTGTCCCTTAGCACAGTATATCTAGAAAAAAAATACAAAAAATGTTTTGGAAATATTTTCATCTTAATTTTATAGTTCATCATCTTTGGGAAAACTCTTTTGATTCTAGACTTATGTTCGTTCAATTAAATGCATATTATCCACCCCCAGTGACGTGTCTTGCTCTACACTACCAGCATTTTAACAGTAAACATGGTTTGTTGGTGTGTTTTAGGCACTGTGTCTTCCTGTACGCTTTTTCCTTTTTCGACCATCGTTTTCTGGAGAAAAAATGGTTGGAGTTTATTCATATGGAACAGGGTGGAATTTGTGCAAGTTGGTGGTTTTTAACAGGCACTTTTCAGAAGAGTGTTTTACTAACTTGGGGCTGTTCAATGCTGGAATTTTTCTACCTCAGACAGATGGAGAATGTGGTTCCATCTTTATACACTGTCAGGGATTCTTTCTGTAAGAGTAAGTAATATCATTTTATCTACCATTAAATGCCTCCCAATGATGATCCTGCAGCTCATCTTCACCATCAGTGCTGCTGACACTCAACCTTGGCTCAAACACGTATGGCATACAGTTGTATACGAACGTTTGTACATCCCAGCCAAATTACATATTTTTGTTGATTTTTAAAGTCAAAAGAACTAAACACAAACTCTACAGCAAACTAACTAATGAATAACAAACATTTTTCATTAACCAAATGTTAATGCTGTTACCTTATATTTGATTAACTTAAAAAATAGAGAAAAAAAACCTATAATTGTGGCATGTGCAAAAGTTTGGACAACCCTCCAGTTGTAAAGTCTCAGAATTTAATTAACTCGTTAGGTCTTAATTGGCTCATTAGGACTCGGTATGCCCTAGGAATAATGTCATTAGGAATAACCATTTCAGACTGGAATAAATTCTCAGCAAACAGGGGTTCCTCTAAGCAGCTGACTGAAGGTCTGAAAATGAATCTAAATGATGCCTAAAAAGTAGAGGAAGGCTATAAAAAGATATCTAAGTGCTTTAAGCTCACAATTTCCACTGTCCAAAATGTCTTTAAGAAATGGCAGTTAAGGGGAACTATGGAAGTCAAGGCGAGATATTGAAGACCAAGAAAAATCTCAGATAGAACTGCCTGTATGTTGGCCAGAAAGGCAAAGCAAAATCCCCAAATGGCACTAAGGATCTGCAGGCTGACACATGAGTGGTAGTGCACCATTTTACTTTGCAGCAATGCTTGCACAAAACCATGATCTGCATGGAAGAGTTATACCTAACCTCTGACCTAATCACAAAAGTCAATGTCTGAAGTATGCAAGACAACATCAAGATAAGCCAGAGGCATTTTGGAAACAGTGCTATGGACTGATGAAGTAAAAATCACCAAAGGTATGTTTGGAGGAAAAAAAAGAGTAGCATTTGATGAAAAGAATACCTTGCCAACTGTTAAGCATGGGGGTGAATCTGTCATGGTTGTGTGGCAGCCAGTGGCACACGAAACATTGCACAGGTAGATGGAAGAATGGATTCCAGTAAATAGTCAAGAGACTTAAGCTGAAAAGAGAATGGCTTCTACAACAGGACAATGATCCAAAACATACCTCAAAGTCCACCATGAACTACTTCAAGAAATGCAAGTTGAAGCTTTTGGAACGGCCCTCACAGTCCCCTGACTTGAACATAACTGAAAATCTGTGGGTAGATTTTAAACATGTTGTGCATGCAAGATGGCCCAAAAATATCTCAGAACTATAAATGTTCTGCAAGAAATATTGGTTGAACATTCCTAAAACAAGAAATGAAAGATTCCTAGCTGGCTATATAAAGCCTTTGCAAGCTGTGATATCTGACTTAGTAGGGTGACCAAACATGTGCACATACCACAATTACTATTTTATTGTTTTCTATTCTTTAAGTTCAGCATATACAACATAACTATGCATTAATATTTGCAGGTAGTAAGTAGTTTGTAAGTAGTGTTCTGCAGAGGTTGTGTTTACTTCTTTGCACTTAAAAAAAAATCAACAAAATATGTAATTTGGTAAGGGGTTCCAAAACTTTTGCATACAACTGTAGCTTTGAAAATGTAAATTCAAGTAATTTAAATAGCACTTTTACATTAGGACGATCATTCACATAAAGATCTTTGTATATCACATGTCATAAGTCATGCTGAATTTGTTCACTTGCTCTTTTTCTAGAACCGTGGTTCATGTCCTATCTGAAATATTGTAATTACAAGGTAAGCGCACTTAGATGCCACCACAATGTTGTAATTACAACTCGCGAACTAGCATTGTTCCATGAACCCTGACTTTCTGATCTGGGGGGCGTGTCATTAACAAAATGTGATGGTAGCCGCCAAAATGAACGTGACGTCTGCAGCAGACAGTAAGATCCATCCATTTTCTGTACCTCTTGTCCTACACTGTGTCACAGGGAGCCTATCCCGGGGAAACTCAAGGCACAATTGCACACACACACACACACACACACACACTACAGGCAATTTAGAGATGCCAGTCAGCCTACAATGCATGTCTTTGGACTGTGGAGGAAACCGGAGTACCCGGAAGAAACCCCCAAAGCATGGGAAGAGCATGCAAACTCCACTCACGCAAGGCAGAGGCAGGAATCGAACCTCCAGCCCCTGCACGCAAGGCAAATGTGCTAACCACTGTGCCAAGATGGTAAGATTTAATAGTCAAACTAAATTTTAATTAAGATTTAGATAATTAGATTAAAATTTTTATTTTAGATAAATTTTTTATGTAAACTATTCAGTTTTTCACTTTTGTTCATAAAGGCTAAATAAACTTCTTGTCGTTTATAATGAAAAAAAAAATAAAAACAACAGAATTTTTCTCACGTCGTCCATATTTCTGACCAAAACCACTCGAACACACACGTTGTAATGACCACCTCCGAGCTCGTGCGCGCGAACCTCTGAGGAGCTCTTGACGGCAGCCTCTGTCTTTAAGAAGCCACAGCCAATTAGAGAAAAGGGGGCGGTCCTGTTTACTGAAATCAAACGTCCATCATAGAGCCATACTGCGCAGGCGTGTAAAGAGCTGTTGGCGCATGCGCGCTGTGCACCTGGTTTGTTTATGCGCTGCAAAAAAGGCGAGAGCGTAATGGCGGCGAGCAGGCTGTGATGAGCTAGCGAAAATAGCCTGGACTCACTGTCACACCTTGGGAAAGATCACAGTCTCTCCTCACACACGCGCGGAAACTGCTCAAAATGCAGATCACACTGAAAACCCTGCAGCAGCAGACGTTTAAAATAGACATCGACGCGGAGGAGACGGTGAGAGATGTTCACTCGGCGGAAGGGCTCGAGACACGGGGCCGCGAAAGTTGGCTTGTGGCTCAGCTATGCTAACGCTACACATATACCCACGTAGTGCGTGTTTGCTGCAGCTATAAGATGCTAAACCACGTCGCATATGGAAACTGAATATGATTTTATCTTAGTTTCGAACATTTACGGAGAATAGCTCAACTGTGAGCTAGTTTAGTTGAGAGAGAAAAGTTGAGAACGCCAGCAAATAGATGCTAAGCTAATTAGCCAGCTAACTCTCAGCTATCCACGTTACCATGATGGCTAACTAGCATGTCTGATGTTAGTGTTAGTTTGTGAACTTAGTGTGAACGTCCTAATATATTCTAAGACCCAATCTGTTACAGTATTTATATCGTTATTTATTGTTAGTATTTAACAAAGTTTAAACTTGTTAGCAAGCTGTCCTGCCCTTCGGCTAATTGTATAGTTAGCGCTAGCTGACGTTTACGGATAAACTCTGCGTTCATTAGTCGTTAGGAAAACGTGTGGATCAACATGCTCGTTTCTTTATCATCTCTGTGTAACACAGTGATTTTAGCAAATGGCGCTTTTTGAACTTTTAATTACGAACACAGAAATAGTTGTGCTATCTGGCTACTATGCTAACGTTAGCGTGCTAGCATTGCGTGGCCTGCTGAATCACATGCAAGCTAGCTGGATAATTAACCAACTTAAATCCGATCATTTCTGCAGTTTTTTTGGTTTTGTATTTTTACGCAAATGAGCACGGTGAGTTTATTGATTACAGGTTGTCACTCAGTTTTCCCCTGATATGAATCCCAATTGTCATTTGTGTCGTTTTTATGAAATCTTGAAAAAAAAGGAGAGAGAAAGTTGAGCTCGGGCCTGAACCCGTGCAGCTGCAGTGACTAGAAATCATTTTCACACCTCCATCAGCACTCTGAGCCAAACTAATGTCTGAGACTCAGTGGCAATGCAGTCGGATTTTTGTCTTTATAAAAGATCAAAATTACTGATTTATTATTTAACATTATACCACACTACTCTTTCTGCTTGATCACAAGTTGTTGATTAGTTTTCTATACCAGCAGCTCTGACCGTAGTGCAATCACAGGTTTATAATAATGCACTCATTCTAATACCTTATCATTTCTATAATAATAACTCATTCAAAGGGGCTTGTATGCCACATGTTGATATGATGATTTTTTTTTCCTGTAAGGAGACATTTATTTAACATTTATTCATGGTCTCCAGGGTCAGTGCTTTTTAAGTCATGTGTAAAGCTGTGTAGGTTTTCCGTCGTGGTAGAGTCTTCAAGACAGGAGTTTAAGCTTTGCAGCCATTCATAGCTCCTATAACATAAGTTATAACAAGAACTTGCTTGGTTCACCAACGTTGAATAGCATTAAATGTAACTATAAACAGATTAAAAGTATGACGTGAAGTGTTACTGTGGGAAAACTGCTGTGTTCTAGGAAAATAATCATCCGCCGTGTGGTAACAGTAACTGTGCTCCATCACGCCATTCTGTCACTCAGTGTTATAGTGAAACAGCACGCCTCTATGTGTCATAAGGGTATGCAAACTTTTGCACTATAGTATAAATATAATTGGAACACAATTTATAACTCATTAAGGTCTTTTATTTAGCTAAATGTAACTTCAACAAACAAAATGAGGACTAAGTACCCGTGGGTCAAATCTGACTTTTCGCTTTGTCATTCTATATTTGGTGTGTGTGTGTAGACATGTATGGAAACTTGAGCTGTGTTTCAAACTGTGTGCTGTAAGTGCAGTAGTGCAGTCACTCAGTGAGATGTAGTGCACTGGTAATAGCTGGGTGATGTGCTAGAACCTGTGAGAAATTATTTTTTGGTACTGCACAACAAACATCCAGCTACTATATAGTCAGCTTTGTAGTGTATAGCTTTAAACTGAAGTGTTGAGTGTGTGGTTTAAGACACAGCTGCCAAAATGGAATGTGTCCATGATGGTAATATTGTGTGATGGATATTATGTATTGGGGTTTGTGCGCATGTGTACAGCGCGCACTCCCACTGCACTGCTGATCTCTGCCTGTTTGTTTTCCAGGTAAAGGCGCTAAAGGAGAAAATCGAGAATGAGAAAGGGAAGGAGAGCTTTCCTGTCGCTGGACAGAAGCTGATCTATGCAGGTTTGTCTTTCTCTCTCTGTCTCTGTTTGTGTGGAATGTCCACAGTGTTTGAAATAAGGGATTTTATGAGAGAGACACATGGAGACACACAGGGAATATGAGAAAGATAAACAGACATGGATATGCAAAAAATATTTGCCACTTTGAATTAATTCATTCCAATTACAAAGTCTGAACGAACTGTTTATATCTATCCTAAACAGGACATTCTGTAGCCAGTTCTTATTTAATATGCACGTTACTAGTAATCTGGTCCAAGGTTATGCCTGTGTGTGGAGTGAGGTTTAGTGCCAGCTTTCCCATATCAAAATGCAGTGCATTAGTCCAGTCAGCATTTGTGAGATATGTTTGTGAAACTAACAAAATGTCCCCTCCCCCACCCCCCGGATGTATGCTAAAAATTCAGCACGGATACAGAGCAAATATTAAACACTTTACTGAGATCAGTCCACGTCCTGCATTTGCCTCAGAATGTTAGTTTGATGCCCATCTAACCTCACAGTTATTTTTAGATAGATTAAACTGAGTTTTCTTACAGGATCATATTTTTCTACCGAGAGCACATTGTGACTCAAATGCACATGCTCAAAATGAACACACTCACTCCGGTAGTAATCGGACACACATGTTTACATGGCTATTATTCTTCTTTTCTTCTAATGGATTATAAGGGGATTAGCCACTTTGTTCATTTGGATAGAAATTTAATTCGGGCTGACCTCAGTCCGTTTACTCTATTCAGACTGAGGTATCTACACAACCTTATTCAGTCGCGTTAATGACAGATTCGTAGTTGCATGTAAACATAGCCAATAAAAGAGAGAGAGAGAGACTGTGAGAGAGAGAGAGGGATGAAGATGTGGCTGATAAATTGTCTAATTATTTTGCTGATTTGCTCTGCAGGTAAAATCCTAAATGATGACACCGCACTGAAGGAGTATAAGATAGATGAGAAGAACTTTGTGGTTGTCATGGTAGCAAAGGTAAGAAATGAATCTCCCTGATCAAATGGAACGCTAGATTTATATTTTCTATTCAATTTTTAATGAGTTCAGCAGGAGAGTAGAGCTGTAGTGTTCCTCATACTTAAAGCCACAGATCCAAGAAAATGAAATGTCCACAGTGTCCCTTCATTCCAAACACAGTGGATCAGCTGGGACGTGGTCAGTGTGTGAAGTTTGTTTCTTTAGTTTAGTACAAGCCATGCGACTAATGTAGCTAATGTAATGAGTTTGGTGTTGCTGCACACCAGCATCAGACTCAGGTAGGGGGCGTAAAGTCTGACACTGGACGAAGGAGTGATTCATATGAGAGTAATATTCAAGTTTTTAATTGGCTTCTGCTATTTTCTAAAACTTTGAACAAACAATATTTAATGAGATGAGTGATGTTTATCTAAGTAATTGTAACAATTATTATATTCTAATAATATAAAGATATTATTGCTACAAGATATTTCTACAGATTAGCATTCTGTTAGCATTTTAGCCCAAAGCAACAGATTAGAGAGGCATAAATGCTGCTGTTTCCATGCTTAGGTTTAAGATTTTTCAGATTGTGTGGACTGATTATTGTAAATGTTTTCCAGCCTAAAGCTGCTCCTGCAGCCGCTCAATCTTCAACTACTGCAGCATCATCGAGTAGTTCCGCCTCTAGCACTACAACTCCCACAATCCCCCCGGCTGCAGCTGCTGCCGCTGCAGCAACCACCACCACCACCACTGACACCACATCCGAAAGCAGCGTCAAAGAGGAGAAAGCAGCAGAGGAAAAACCGCCATCTTCTACACCTACCAGGTAGATCACACACCTCACGCACATGTGATCAGGTACATCACACACCTCATACACACCTGATGACGTATCACACAGCTCTCAGACACCTGAAATACATCTCATATACTTAACCAAGTAACTGACACACCCCTGAAACACATCACACACACACTTGACCGACAGTTGAGGTTGCTGTAACCTTGCATTCAGTTTTATTTCTGTAATATTTTACAGTAAATGCTAAGTGAGTGAATTAGAGTGCAATAGCTGGGCGATTACTGATGGAGTGTAGCTGCTTCTCTGATGCGTCTCCTGTCCTGTCTTTGTCCTGCAGTTCTGGTAGCCTGACGAACGTCAACATATTCGATGAGGCGACTTCTGCTCTGGGTAAAGACCACTCCACTGGGAGACTACAGTCTTTATAAACAGCTCTGTA